GACATCAACACATCAGGGATGGAGTGGTTTAGGGGTATATATAGTGGGGGAGGATGTGATTGAGTGGTTAAGTAATATACAAATGCTTGGATGCAATGAGTAAAGCAAAACAATACTCATAACAATAAATAAAATACTAAAACAAAAACTTAGAGAGAGAGAGAGAGAGAGAGAGAGCTTAAGTAAAGCTTAATTGTAAAGTAAATTATTGTTAAAAACAAAAAAGTATTCACTGAAAAACTGTGTCGACAATAACAGTAAATCATAACTAATATAATAAATAAATAAAAACTTAATGTCAGGGATGAGCGAAAATACTAATCAAAAATCGTAACCCAAAAAATAGTTATATAATAAATATCTATATTTTTTAGTGCACTTTACGGGATTGGATACCAAGATTGTTCATTACTTAGAGAGAGAGAGAGAGAGAGAGAGAATAATTGCAATTTTCGGACCAATGGATGCACAGAATAGCCAGATATAACTTATATAATACATATGATAGGTATGTGTGGGGCCGACAGCTTGAAAGAGGACAGGGATGTCACGTAAGAGAGGATGAGGCGAATGAAGCAAATAAATAAACCAAAAATTAGTCTTTTTTCAAATTAAAGAATAGTTAATGCCTTAACTATTGAGAAACAAAGAATATTTGAATATTTAAATAAAAATTTTGTGGAAAAGGATTAAAAACAACTAAAAAGAAGACATAGATTCAGACATACAAATGGAGTCTTAATACCTGTGCCTAACAGTACGCAAAAAAAAGTTTAATAACTTTTGCGCACATATTATACACAGTATTTAAAAAAGTATTTAAAACTTCTTAAAGGATATTAGAAATATAAATAACTGTTAAAATGGCATCACATAAGAGGCCTAACGGTCCGCTCCCTCGGCTTGTAATGCATTTGTGCCATAAATTCAGCGCTTATTCCATCGCATTGTATGTCTATTACATTATTATGTAATACCTGTCCCCCATTACCAGAGCCTCGATGTACAGTACAAATGCTGAACAACACATTTTAGCACTTGTCACTCATTATTAGTGTATTTTTTTATGTGTTTTGTTTAAAATTTTGGAGAATAAATCTCAATAATAAAAACTGTTCAAACATTAAATGATTTTAAAATAATAATCACTGATAAAAATACAATATAAGGTGATATGAAATGTCTTATATACTGTCAGAGCTGTCACCCATCAATTCATGTTCAATGGCTACCATTCCCTTTCCCAACCTCTCATTCTGAGCCTCCCGTCCCCATACACTCAACGCTAATACTACTGTATTATCGGATAATATTTAATATAAGAATATATAGTTTTATTTGGTTTAAAAACACGAGACAAACGGTAAACAGAATTCAATTTTTATTATTAAGTTTAGTTTTGATGTAATTTTTTCCATGAATAATGGCTCCGGGGGTCACCAAAAAAGCATACAAAACCGTACTGTATATAAAGTGTACAAACCATACACTATACACACAATAACATTTAGTATTGACACACAAACAACGCTAATATTACATTAAATTCTTGTCTATTTATTTTATTTGAAAACTTATTTTTCTTCTTCTAATAAAACTGTATTATAGACACAGAAGACAACGGAAAATAGATTTTCCGCTTAAATATTACATCAAAAGTCTAACAATTTGTTGTTAAAGAGAAATATTATTTAAGAAATAAGTTTTTTCATTCAAGTCCTCGAGCTATCAAATCGCAGGCATCGCCAGAAAAACTACCGGTATTTTGCAATTTTGTATTTCACAAATTTCTCAGTTCACGGCTTATTATGAACTCTATTGTGATAATAAAATGAGAGGGAGAGAGAGGTCAGGGATACTAAGGCGAGGAATCTCATGATTACAATGAATGCCTGATATATTAAAAATCGGTACTAATAATCATCAATGGATGCAATCATTACAGTTAATAGACTTATTAAAGATAAGATGGCCAACAAAATGATACGGCAATGAGATGGGAAGTATGTGCTAAAAATGACTCTCTCTCTCTCTCTCTCTCTCTCTCTCTCTCTCTCTCTTTCTCTTTCTTTCTTTCTTTCTTTCTCTCCATTCACTCACACATTATGGGCTGATAAATGATATTCTTATTCAACATCACATATTATTTGATTTTATTAAGTCATTATTCAAATGATTGGCGCTAATGATTGGCACACAAATAGCTGTTAACAGAATGGATGTGAATGTAAAGTCTCAATATAACTATTCTTGCGATTCAATCGTTTACAGCTTACAAATGGTCCATAAATTGGCGATCAAATCATCAAATCGTGATTTTGTTTTAAATTCTCGCAAATATATTAAATCAAAGACGAGAAATAATTTTGCATAAAAATGTGATTAAAATTGTTTCCAAAATAAAACTATCATTGATTGCAATCATCTTCAAAAGCATTGCTTATTATTTCGGTTAACAATAATCATCGCTAAGAATCTTCAATGCATTGATAATTAGTAATAATATTAATATTACCGTGTTTATTCAAAAGTTACATAATAATTACCATTAAATACTTTATGCAAATGTACGTTAATTTTTAATTAAATGCAAATTTGTATCAAAATAATTAATAATTAGCTTAATAGTAATGGAAACTAAATTATTATTTCATTATATTAACGTTAAATATATGGAAAAGTCTGTCCTTCAATAGTCTAATCTGCAAAACACTTGGACATTGAATTTTGACAAATTTAATATCAATTTAATTGCGGTTTAATTATCAAATGTCTGGTCATATCAACCCATTAACAAGTGATCGAGTAATAGATATATTCCTATAATTATGTGATAATAGCAAACAATTTATATAATTAAATAAATTATTTAAATCATTAATCACTCGCTTGTTATATAAAGCATGTGAATAAAAGATTAATTAATTTAGTATTTTTAAAAATTTAATCCATTTTCGTTTATATTGCAATTGAAAAACATTATTAGTGAGAAAATACGGATTAAATTTCAAATCAAATTACTATAAACTAATAAAAAGTAATTATAAGTTATTTTATAGTCAGTTAATCACATTAACTAAATTCAACAAAAATAAAGTTTAATGACATCCCATTCTCCCAGCCTTTGCATTGACCATGAATATTTTTCCAGCCCCTATATCTATGTCTAATTAACTTTAATTACGATTAACTCTATTTAATGCACACAATCTTTGCCATAACTTATTTGTGTGAAGCCCTCTAATTATAAGCGCTATTTGAAAAATAATAAGCGAATTGTAAATTATGCTCAAAAAAGTTGTCATTCATTTTTTCTAGTCAATTGTTGGGTCGGGAGCGCACCCCCAGGTATCGGATGTTTTCTACATTCATATAATTATAAGTATAATACGTGAACATTAATTATCATATAACAAATGATGTGTTTATCAGTCAATATAATAAATCAACAGTAATTTTTATATAATATGCAAAATAATTGTATCAAATTTAATTCATTCAAATTATATCCATATTTGCATTAATTGTTTGAAATCTTTATTTATAATACTATAGAATAGGAAATTGATTATCAATTGATTGCAGGGCCACTAATAACAGACTCTTATACAATATACAGTTTACCATATGTTTAAATATTGATATTTCCATAATATATGCAATATTACATAACTTTCTAATTGACACCAATCACTATAATTGAAATGTTTGCATTGTAACATTTTCATATAACGATTTTAGATAGTATATTTAATATTAATAAAAATTTACCACAATGTGTTCTTACCCAATTATGGTTCTCAATATGAAAGCATCATTGCAAACTTAGCGGAAAAAATAATATGGTGTAATCTTCTAAATAAATATCCTTACTTCATTATTCAAATCATTATCAAATGTCCATTTCATTACATTTTAGACTAAAACAGCTCAGGTTGAAATAGGGGATGTTTTTTGTATGACGTGGTTACTGAATCACCAAGGTGTTTTGTAAATTATTCATTATAATGTGTGAGTAACATATGAATAGTGTATAAATTACAACATAAGGGTTAGATGCTGGGTGTAGTGAGGTGTAAATTCTGGGCACCTTTATTTTAGACACATATTCTATACTTATTTGTTTTTATTGTGAACACAACTTATAATTTCTCGGATTTTAATAAAAATTCATCTTGATTATATGGTTCAAATGTTTTAAAATAAACTAAATAACTTAAACATACCCATGTGGTTTTATAAAAACTTTGTTAATTCTTACATATTTTATTTCACTATAATTTATTGTTATTACTAAAGATTTAATGAATGATTTATTTAGTAATATATTTGTATTGATTTTCACTCTCTTTAATGATTCCAATTATAATTAATACTGGCCTACCATTTATAGATGTATAAATAATTATATGCTACTCTTGTATATTGTATGACTTCTTGTTCCAAATATTATAATGTCTTAATAAAGATTAATTTCCCCATGATAAAGATATTAAATACAATTATAATCTTATGAATAGATTTATATACTTTATACTGTATATAATTAATAATCATTAATTCTTAATATATTACTGAATCGATGAGTATTGCAATCATAATGAAATGTATGTATGTATTTATAAGTAAAGATGATAAAGCAAATATGATATCAATTTATATCAAAACTTATTTCCGATTAGGGTACATTAATATGCACTCAATTTCACAATAATTTAATAGATATGCTAAACCTATACCTATACAGTAGTAACATAGTCTAATTTGCTGTACAGTATATAAAAAATAACACAAAAACACTTTTTTGATATTTTTCTTAACTATGAGTTGTTTGAAAACAGATACAAATTAGACAAATAAGCGCAAACGAGAAAAAACGTGGCATTTGTTGCCAATTGTTATTTAAAGTTAAAATTTAAGACTCGTTTAAATCAAATCATCATTAAATTCGACAAATTTTATACAATTATATAATTTGGTGCCAAAAGTATTGCTAAATAATGACATCGGAGGAGAAGCCGGCGGTGAGAAGCGCTGATATGTCGGTCGCGATGCAAGCCGTGGCTCTAGAAGTGGGGGCCGAAGCGGTGACCAAATATACTGTTGAGCGCGAGATCGCCGCTCACATTAAGAAGGACTTCGATCGTCGATACGGCCCGACCTGGCATTGCATCGTCGGCCGCAACTACGGCTCGTTTGTAACGCACATCCAAAACAATTTCATTTACTATTATATTGAGAAACTGGCCATCTTGCTCTTTAAGGCAGGTTAATGCCGCACTCGCCTCAATCAATATTCAATATAATTGTCATTATATTTGATAACTAATAACTATTATTAATTTTTTTGTATATTTCTTGTTAAAAGTTAATTTATAATTATTAGTAAATTAATAAATTAACAGACAATTTAGTGCAATTTAATATTGGTTTATATTTTATTTTTAAAACAAATTGATTTTCTTACCCAAATATTTAATGTGAAATTATTATTTTCTGATTGTAATACAATTATAAATATGAAATAAATAAACACGAATATTTGAAAATTCTCAATGAGTGACTTTATTTATAATTTTAATGGTTTATGAATTTACATACAGTTAAAAAAGAGATGATTTCAATAGTTAATTATTAATAATTATAACTACAAAATTAAAGTTAAAATTTTTCGAAATTATTTATAGCTTTTTATATAATGATAGTTTTGTGCAAATCATAAAACAATTAATTATAAATTAAAATAATGAAAGGAAATAAAATGTTTGATTTGTTTTAATATTATCTTATTTACAATTAATTACTAACTTTTCATATTTAATATTATATTTATTACAATATTTATCAATAAAAAAGACAAAAAATAATTAGCATTTAGTTTTGTTGTTTTCAAACTTTATAAACTAAATTTGTAAATCAGTTCATCAAAACATATTTAATTAATTATAACTCTAAAACAAAGCGTCCATTTCTTATAAATACAAATAAAAGCCTATAAATTAGTATTAAAAACACAAATAATTTAATTTATAAATTAATAATCAGCCTTTTATGTTAAAATTACATATAAATTATATTTATAACAAGTATTTTTGTATCATTTTCTTTGCTCTGGATTTGACAATCAAATGATCTGACATTTTACTCCCTATACAGTCTATTATAACATAAGTTTTGTATCATATTTTCCTTTTATAACTCTATTATAGTTTATGTCAAATATTTAGAGCAAAGAAGAGGAGGAAAAGTATTGAAATTCTTACAAAAATCAAGTGATAAGCAAATCAATAGAAATCAAGTGATGAGACAAACAATGCATTTATAAGAAGGACAGAAGAAATCTATATAAAAAACAAATCTGAATAACAATTTATATTAGAAACGAAATTATAAGAAAAACTTGTGAAAAAATGAATCCCTTTTATAATGAAAATAAAAGGAAAATATATCTTCCAATACATACACTGTTAGTGTTTTTTATACATATTTATATACACACAGAGCTATAGAGCTATAAAGAGATGTTTTTATCACTCATTCAATTCAATCTCAAATCATTATTTTCAATGCAATCCAAAGCATTCATTCATTTAGATTATTATTATTCTCATTATTATTATATACCATAAACTCTATGCAAAAATACAATTGCATTTCAGATTCACTCCAGTATTGTGTGTGGAGTTTGTAATAACAAAGTTTTTCCCTTTTTTGCTTACGTTTTTATGTAAGATATTGACTGACTCTTACTCTCGATGCAAACAATAGTAGCATTTTGTGTGCACTTTCTTCCCAATCCTCCCCCTGTTTCAGCTTTTGTTGTGTTTGTGATGTGTATTGCAAAACATATATAAGACATACATTTGTATAGAAGTAATACCAAGAATATTATAGTTTATTTCATTGGGAAATGAATGGTACACACGATTTGCTAAAAATCATTGATTATATTCTGTATATTCTGTACCACTAAATGGCCAATTGTTTGAGAATTTGGACATTTGGTGTACTATTGGGTGTGTAATACCGTTAAATATGGGGATCAGCTGTGGATTCAATAAAAAATTCAAATAAAGGAGGAATTGAAGAAAGAATATAAGAATTTATATTTAGATATTACTCTCAAATGTAATGTCTTTGGAAAAAGCAGAAACTTTACAATTCATTCACTTGACTTCACTTTCTATTACATACCGTATTATTATTATTATTGTTATCATTGAAGACACTATTTAAACAGTTTTTTCCACTGTATTGAGTGACTATTCTTGGAAAATAAAAACTTATATTTCTTTTGGTTATTCAAACTTAAGTGAAAGCAAAGAGAACGTCAAATAGAAATCAAAAAATATTTCTTTAAAAAATTGTAAGAATCTTTTTTGGTTTACTTTTTGAAAATATTTTTAAGTCTTAATAATAATAAGAAAACGCAAAATCCTTTTTCACTCAAAATGAAATCCTTTAATAAATAATATGATAAAAATATTACTTTAAGATTTTCTTGCGCTAAATTCGAGAGAGAGAGAGAGAGAGAGAGAGAGAGAGAGATTGTTTATTGAAAATCTGTAAGATTTCATTGAAACTAATATTCTTATCGCCTTTTTCAATGTTATGTAAAATATAATAACAATAATAAAGCATATAATAGAAAAGATGTGGTAATGCTATCACTTCGATATTGAACACATAGGGAGAGCACAGGTGTCACAGTGTATAACAAGTGTTATTTGTTTAATAGGTGTTATATGTAAGGGAATGGGAAGTCATCCAAAAACACAATTGAATGGCAACTGTTATATAGTGTGTGTGAAAGAAGTGTAACCAAAGCGATAGGTGTTAACGACAATACACTTATTGACGGCCAAACCAACCGACCGGTGCGGACGGGTGGGGACGCAACCATCATATGGAAGAATTGGATATAATGAACAAAACTGGAAGATATAATATATGACTGTAAAAATCCTATTCTTTCGGTTACACATCTCTAAACACAACACTCGTATAGTTTATATATAGAGCACCTGATGTTTGATAGGAACGGGTCATTGATATCCCAATACAGTAATGATTTGTGTTAAAACAATTCAATAAGAATTGAAAGACAAATTCATTGAATTATAAAACCAATGTATGGAAGAGCTCTTTGTGTATATATAGAGGAAAGACAGTTACGACTGTATTGAAATTGTTTGGCTATTTTTTAGAGACCCATCATATTTAATATAATACTGTTTTTGATATATAAATTTTATCTAATTTGCCGAATACTTTGGATCGCATTCTTAGTATTTACTAATAATATTTATGATATTATTATTACTATTAGTTTTCTTTGTGTAATTCATTTGCCGTTTAATTTAAATGCATTTTGTTTTGAATGTAATAATAATTTACATTTAAATGTATTTCAAATGCAATATTGCGGTCATAAAAACACAAATTTTCAGGTAATTTATATGTTGTGTTGCTTTTGTTTTGGTTACAAAATCATAAAAACAAATATAAAAAACTAAAAATTCAAAACATTTTTAAAAACGTGGAGTGAAACTACTTTTTAAAAATAATTTAGTATTCATATGAATATTACTGTATATGAAATGGAGAAAAATACACACAAAACAAAATTAATTCAAATAAATAATATATTAAATTCCAGTTGGGTTTGGATGTAAAATATTGCCGATCGAGAGCTCAGGTGGTCTCTGCAAAAGCCAACACAAGTGATGTTTATATTGCGGTCATAAAAACACAAATTTTCAGGTAATTTATATGTTGTGTTGCTTTTGTTTTGGTTACAAAATCATAAAAACAAATATAAAAAACTAAAAATTCAAAACATTTTTAAAAACGTGGAGTAAAACTATTTTCATATGAATATTACTGTATAAGAAATGATCTTTTTATGTGTGTTTTGTTTTAATTAAGTTTATTTATTATATAATTTAAGGTCAACCCAAACCTACATTTTATAACGGCTAGCTCTCGAGTCCACCAGAGACGTTTTCGGTTGTGTTCACTACAATATGACGGCACGGGTAGTCAGTCGGTCGCCCAAAACTTATATTAAGTCAGTTATATTGTGTATACATTACATGATATGTAGCGCACAATGAATATAAGAATAAGTAGTTTTTCTCCATATAAATCAATACATAGAGATGTTTGGTTTGATTTGACGGACATAACTTATATTAAGTCAGTTATATTGTGTATACATTACATGATATGTAGCGCACAATGAATATAAGAATAAGTAGTTTTTCTCCATATAAATCAATACATAGAGATGTTTGGTTTGATTTGACGGACAAATATACACAAATGTTAAGCCAATCAATAGGTAATGGTATCGTTGAGGGAAAGATGTAGAATATGCCGTTTTCTTTAATATTAACCATCGTTTGCGTACAAATAAACTAACAAAAAGTCTTTCTCTACAATTGTTTCTTAAACTTTCAATGTCTTCGAAGCAATAAAAGTTGTCCAAAATGTATATATTATTAGCAAAAATGTCTGAGAGATGAACCAAATGGTGGATACGATTTCAATGAATCAAGTTTTTTGTTTCTTCCACTGAATATATTTATATACAAATGTCTGTCCATTCATTGAAAATGTCCGGAAAAAACAAATACTAAACACAACATTATCTCATACGAGAAAACCTTCGGGCGTTCCGATACTGGTCTGTAACCGAAGCGCTTGAATGCCATTCATAAGCTTCTTCTGATGACTAACTAGTGTCACACCAATGATGGCCAGATCCTGGGCCGTGAGTCGGGCCACAGCCGACAGATTGGTCACTCCCGACTGCTCGAAGTNCTGTAGTGTATGAATGTGTTAGCTCAGAAGTGGGGGTTAAGAACTGTCGGCGCTCCACTTTAGACGGTAATTAATGACTGCCTAATGATCTGCTCTATACGATGATAGCCGGGGCTGTACTATACGGGCGCATATATACGGCTTGATTGAGCACATGGCAGATGTTTTGAGTGCTCAATAAGCTATCGCCTTATTATTAAGTAATATAACATAAGTTTTTCACAAAATTTCGTGAATATATTCTTATTCTTCTTTGTATATATTGTATAACATATTTCACGAAATATTTGTACGTATTTTTAAAATTATAATTAATGAGTGCATTGTTTCACTACATTTTACTCTCGCTTTAAATTTCTCTTTGCATTACTAACTGATTGTATTGTATTTCTTTATAATAGGACTGTCCGGAGATGTTATACGATAAGCTAATAATGGACTGTTGGCAAAAGGATCGCAACCTGAGGCCCACATTCCCTCAAATTGTTAAAACATTAGATAAACTAATTAAATGTCCCGAGAATTTGCAAAAACTCTGCAAAACAACGAGGTATTGGTTTTATTACATGATTAATCACATTATTGTTTAAGTTAAACATGTTAAACTTTAACATTTACTTATATTTTGTATTTTTATCTATGATTTGATTTTTAACGCCTTTTTAAAGAATACTAAACCTATAAGTTTTTAATTGCATTTAATTTACCTTTTGTGTAAAACATGATAATTCGCTGTGTTTTACCCTAATTTTTTGGTTCCCCAACAAAATACAACAAAATTAATGCAATTTTCTCGTTAATACTTAAATAGTTTATTTTGGTTTTCATTTCGAGGTTACAACACCTCATGGTATGGATTTCCTCCCCAGTCCTGTCTCTGTCTGTCTGATTGTCTGATCGTTTTGTTTAGTTTGCGTAATACATAATCACATCAATTCAATACCTTTTTTATTCAATTTCTCATTTAATTTATATATGTTTTCCGTTTATTTTTTCCCATTTATTTATGTCTTTTCTGTTGAGAAATTTACATTTAAATGATTTTAGTTTTATTTTTTTGTGTGCCAAACCAAATTTGCGTCCGACCCCCACATACCCTCTCCCGCCCCCTCTTTTCACTCTAAATCATTCAAAAGGGTATAAAATTTCTTTGAATAATTTAAAACGATTTGTTTTTTGTTAATTTTAACTCTTATTTATAGTATTATTTAGTTTTCAATAATTTCCTTTTATAATACGATATACTGTACTTATAAATAGATTTTACGGCACAAAAAAATAACAAAATTATTTAGTTTTACGAATCAATGAAATGAAACGATAATTTTTGAGTTACACCTTTTTTCTTTCATATGTTATATACATTTCTTTTGCATAAAATAAATATAATTCACATTATTTGTTGTTTTTGTTTTTTGTTTCGGTAGTAATTCTTAATGGGATGTCATCTCAAGTATAGGAATATAATTAACATTTTATTTCATTTACAATATAACGAATTCCTATGCATTTTATTGAATGATTTTAAAACAAAACGCTTAAAAATCAGACTCATTTGCATTGAAACCAGAATTTAGTTTATGATTATTTGTCTCTCTTTTTATAATTACAAATAAAAATTCATTGATTTATAGAACAATAAATCTAATAATTATATGTATTTTATTTGCCATTCCTGTGCCCACCCGCGCACTCACACACATATAGGTTAACTCTGGACCCGTTTGGTGAGCCCAACACTATGTGTATACCCGATGTCATCC